TTCTATTTTTTTTTAATTATTTATATTTTATATAATATTTTTTATACAATATTAATATATTTTAAATATTTATTATGAGAGTATAAATCTTTAATGAAAAAAAATTATATATTTTGAATTGCATTGAATTGCACAATTTAAATCATTGATTAGAGGCCATAACATTATTTGACTTAATGGTAGTAAAAATAAAATTTCTCTATATTAAGTTCTCCTGATTTTTTAAATGGGAGTTTGTATTGTTATGATAGATCAAAATGCTTATTGGGCCTTTATTTTATATACTTTGTAGGTCCATTGTTATTTGATGATATATATCTATATATGTGTGTGTGGACTACATAGAAATATTAAAGTATCATTTAGTTAGATAGGTGAAATTTTGAATATGTAAGGTCAAATGGTATGTACATCAAACTTAGTTAGGCTTTAATAGGGATGGTAACGAGACCCCACAAGGTTGGGGAGCCCCTCCCCATCTTTGTCCCCATCTGTGCAAATGGTAGGGATGGGGATAGGGATCTTGTAGGGATTTTTGATGGGATAGATTTTACCTTCGTTCTCGTTCCTTGCTAATTTATATTAAAATATGAATTTTTTCACTTATAATCAATTAATATTCAATTATAATAAATAAAATTCTAAAAATTCAAACACAATTAACTACAATTTTTCAAACATAAAATCAAATATAAATTGTCCAAATATAGAAAAAGATAAATCCAATGTAAATAACTAAACTAACGAATTTATTCCTTATACAACACTAATAACATCTAGATTGTACCTTTGTAGACTGCAAAAATACAATTAGTTGTAACCAGTAAAGTCAATAGACATATGGTAAAATCAAATATAAATTGTCCAAACATAAATGAAGATCAATCCAATATGAATAATTAAATTGGGTTTGAAATGTATTGATATATTGGGTTGAATTAAATTTTAAATAAAATTAACTTATATATTTTTTAAAATTTTTCACAAAGATGAGGATCCCTATGAGGCTACAGAGGATGGGGGAATTCCCCACATAAATTCATGGGAGAAAAACTCCCCTCATCCCTACCCCATGAAGAGGAATATTCCTCCTTATCTTGTCCTCATGGCGGGGATTCTCGCGGGGATTGGAGAAAATTGTCTCTCTTATATAGTTTAAATTGCATTGAACTGCACAATTTAAATCATTGATTGGAGGCCATAATAGTGAAACATTGTTTGATGTAATGGTAGTAAAAATAAAATTTCTCTATATTAAGTTCTCTTGATTTTTTTAAATGGGATTTTGCATTGTTATGATAGATCAAAATGCTTATTGGGCCTTTATTTAATATACTTTGTAGATCCATCGTTATTTGATGATATATATGTGTGTGTGTGTGTGTGGACTACATATAAATATTAAAGTAACATTTAGTTAGATAAGTGAAATTTTGAATATGCAAGGTCAATGGTATGTAATTCAAACTTATTTAGGCTTTAAGTTACATTTTATAATCTTTCTCCCATGAGAATAGAGAAGAACAAACTCATGCTTGTTGTAATTCTTTACGGAAAGAGGGGTGATGATACAAGAAATTTTTTTTTATATTATCTTTTTATACAATTTTTATATGTCATTAAATAAATATATGTATTCAATATCATGTACCCAAATAAATAAAAAGAGCTAATCGTTTAAATGTCACATAATGTTATACAAAAAATGATATAAAAAAGTTGTCATTAAAATATTTTCATAAAAAGAATATTAGTATATCAATTTCTTGTTTGGAATAAATTCTTATGGGTTTAAATGGACGAATGTGAGGATCAAATTATGATAATTGATTTTTTTTTTATTTAAGATAAAACAATTCAAGTTTGTGTTTTCTATTTTATCAAATAGAAATTTGGATCGTTGGCCAAAAAAAAAAAAAAAAGAGAGATTTGGATTAAGATGATGGCTTGTTGAATGGTATGCAATCTAACTTTTGAAATGTAAAAAGTAAATTGCTATATCATACTGAAAGGTTATAGTTTTTTAAAAAACTTTCGAGATTATGGAGTCTTTCAAACTTTAAAATTATTGATAAATTCTTCAATTTATAAATTCATAGTTTCTCGGCCTAAAGTTCTACTTCTATTTGAATTCAATAGGATTCCGTTAACTGAGAACAAAACAAAATTACAATGAAAACAGTCTGAAGTTGTTGGTTTTTTTTTTCCTTGGTTTTGGAATACATCTAACAGGCTCACATTGCGGTGTTTGTGTATATTTGTTGGAATGAAAATTGGGTATTTTTAGCCCATTTATTTGGGCTTTAAAAGACAGGAAATTGGGTAGTTGTAGAATGGAATTTTAGCCCACTTAATTTGGGCTTTAGGAGATATGGGATTAGGTGTTTTAGAGGAATTTTTGTGTACCTAATTTTCAATTTAGCAGAGAAAACAGCTTATAGAGTCAAATTATGGTGCTTGCTGCTAGGGTAAATTTGTTAGAATTGAAATTGGGTGTTTTCAGCTAACTTATTTGGGTTTCAAAAGACATGAAATTGAGTAGTTTTACGATAGAATTCTAGCCCACTTAATCTGAGTTTTAAAAAATGTAGGATTAGATATTTTTGAGGGATTTTTGTTTATCCAATTTTCAATTTAGTGTATATATATATATGAGTTGGGATTCATTTACATATAAATTTTACGTATTACATTTATACAAAATCTCAATTATTTATCATTTTACTTCTAATAGTTGAGATTTAATCATATTTATTAAAGATAATTATTTTTTTTACCTAAAAAAGCTTTAATAAATGTCAACCATTGAAAGTGAAGAGATAAATAATCAAGATTTTGTATAAGTGTGGTGTGCAAAACTTGTGTGTAAATGGTACCCTACTGTATATGTATATAGGGTTAACACTTGTCCGTCTTACATCGTAAAAATTAAGAGAAAATTATTCTAAAATTACGTTGTCTTAATAAAATATCATTAAAAAAACTAAAAATAGTCTAATTTATACTTTACAAAAAGAGTATTTTAGCATTTTTAAAATAAAATTTTATTAAAATAATATAATTTTAGAGTTATTTTTCTCATAATATTTTGATGGAGATATATAATAAAATTTTGATTAGCTATATATATATATATATGGTATTATAATTGATTCATCTAGGCCGCTTGGTCCGCTCAGCCTATTCCAAACACTTTAGGTCCACATTAACCCAACCGTTTAGCCCATCTTCTTTCCGTTTTTGCTTTGTATAAATATCTCATTATAAACAAGAATTTTCTATGAAAGTCTGGACTAAATAACAGTTTCTCAATAAAAAAAAATATCCCTTCCTCTCCCAGCCTCATCCGCTACCCACTACTGATCCATCTCCCTTTTTCCATCCTCAATTCGACTGTCACCATTGCCTTTCCATCACTGATCATCGCCTTGAATTTTATTGGCTCTTAGCAGAGAATTTCCAGGGTTTGAAACGAAATAGACTTCTACTTTTTCTAGAGGAGTGTTAGTAGTATTTTTTCTAACACTCCCTATATTAATGATTCACATAGCATAATTAATGA